TTATATACTAAAAAACGTTTGTCAAAAGAATTCGTGGCGGACTAATTACAATATTTTGTATACATACATTTAAGTAATACAATTTTAAAAAATAAGTTGTGGTTCAAAAATATTTATTTCTATGCTTCCTATTTTACAGTGCCTTCAAATTGTAATCAGATAAACCACTTAAATAGCTCTGATTCAACTACTTTGTGACTCGCCGACTTGCAGAATCCATGAATAAATTTTCTATACTTGTTTCTAACGAAGTAGTTTTCAAGCTATTAAAAGATGTTTATTTATTCTCTGGGATATGCAATCCCAGAATTATGTATTTTAATCAGATTAAATATGTAACCAGATTACCTCTTCATACAAAATAGAGACCAAATTTGTGAGGCTCCGCCCCACATTCAACTCCAGTTGAAGGCTGTAACCACATTATCCTCCTCTTAAGGTCACCCACAGTCCGGATAAAGACAGCCAAATGTATCATGCTGAATGCGATGTGGAATGCAATGCAATAATTTGCAAAATGGACCACCAACACTTTTGACAACCCACTGTATTTCATAAACCTTAGCGTTTGCTTTGTGAGTTATACGTGTGTACAGGGATGGGCAGATAATTATCTTAGATCAAAAGATCACAGATCAAGATCAAGATCATCTATGATCTTTGATCTAGATCAAATTTTTCGGCGTGATCTTTATCTTAATCTGATCTGCATATCCAGGTACTGATCTGATCTTTGATCTTGATCTTTTAAAAACTATCTGGCAATCTAATCTCATCTGATTACGCTCAAGTGAAAACATGCTTCACATAGAACGACCTGGGGAGACAAGAGCACATTGCAAGCGTGGGATAATGAAATTCCAAAATCAGTACCTACTCGTCACTCTCAACTGAACTGCTTCCTCTCTCCTCGATCATTTTAATTATTGGTTACACCTTTTTATATTTCAAAGTTTCACAAAATTATTTTAAAAGTAAAACCCCTCACAATTTTAACACAATGGAGAACACTGTCTTGGACAATGTTGAGGAATCAAATGATTCTAGTTCTGTGCCGTTCATTCTTCGTGGGAAATTCTTTAAAGTGGTATCTAAAATTGAGGGAAAAGTGGAAGCTAAGTGTGTATCATGTAAGAAAATAGTGAAAGGGAGCCTAGATTCAACTGGTAACTTCCACCGACATTTGAAGGTAATTATTAATTAATAAACACAAATTCCTGAAATCCTCACAAGTAAAATATTTTATTATTATTTAGGAACATGATGGTTTGGAGGATCAGTTTAAGAGAGAAAAGAAAACTGATGGAGAGCAAAGGGGGAATAAAAGGAAGCTGCGTAACCCCGACCAACCTACGGTAACTAATTTTTTCTCGAAGGTGCCAAGGATGGTGATGCCCACGGGAGAGCGGCTCCAAGTTAAGTTTATAGTGGGAGGATTTCATCCCTATTCAACCGTTGAGGAGGATTCATATAAAGCCTAAATTCTTGGTAACAACACATTGTTTCATCTACTAACTCGTGGTAAACATAATCAAAGTGTTTAACTGCCCCCAGGATTGAGCGATGGAAAAATAAACCCCGTAACACGGCGGACCCTGGGACGGCGCGTGAGTCAACTGTACGATGAAATGATCGACGATATGAAAGAGAAGTATGCGAAGGTTCCGTACTTTGCCGTGACTCTGGACGCATGGTCAACAAAGGGGAATAAAAGGGGATTTCTAGGTTCCACATTGCACTGGGTGAGAATTTTGAGATGTAAATAAATTTATTATAATGTTTATGGTTGACGTGACGTTAATTTAATTTCAATGTTTCAGATCGACGAGCATACTTTGGAACGTATGTCCGATTGTCTCTCTTGTCGTCGTTTTCCTGGTTCTCATACCTACGACAAAATAGCGAAACTCCTTAACCACATTTTGGACGTTTACAACATTAAAATGGAAAAGGTGCTTAAGGGCACGTGTGATAATGGAACTAATTTCCTTAAGGCCTTCTACGCATACTCAGCAAAGGATGAAGAAGAGGAGGAGGATCAAGTGGAAGAAGAAGATGAAAGTATCGGCGACGATGTTAATGATATTACAATGGAATGCCTTGAACAAGTTTTGGTCTGTGAAAAAGTAAATGAGCAAATCACAATGCCTCGTTGCCATCCCTGCACAAGTCATACACTCAGCCTTATCTGCACAAGCCAGGATGTGTGTAATAGGGGAAATCGAGTCCAGCGTAAAGTATTTTCCAAATGCCATGCATTTTGGAACTGCTTATGTCGTTCTGTCCAGAAAAATGAGGCCGTTTTCAAAATAACCAACAAATCCATAGTCACCCCTGTTGTAACACGATGGAATTCCCTTTACGATTCAATAAGTTGTTTACTAAGTCTGGAATCAGACTTGTCTTCAGCTTTTCTTGCTGCTAGTGAGTTACTGAAATATGCATTGAGTTATAATATCAGCTGACATTAAGTTCGTTATTCTTTTGTTGTAGAGTGTGTTGCACTTACCGCCCCAGAAATCCAATTTTTACAAGAATACAAGCAATGTACACAGCCAATTGCTCAAGCACTTGATCGCCTTCAGGGTGAAAAGGGTAACATCAACAATGGATGTGGATCCTATTATGGATGTGTCATGCCTACGTTGATTAGAGTTCAAGAAGCCCTTACAAATATAAATCACAGGACTCCAGATTTATGTGAGAAACTTCCGTCCATCCTACTCGAACATTTCAACCGCAGATTTGAAAAATACTTGTCTTTTTCGTCTGATCACGAGGACGCGATTATAGCAGCCGTATCACACCCGTATTTTAAACTGCGTTGGGTTCCTGAGAACAAAATATTTTCAACGAAGGACATCTTCATTAATGTTGTCGTCAAGCATGTGATGAAAAAAAAATCAAGCACAAGCCCAAATATTACACCATCAACACAATCCGTTTCATTGGAAAATCAATTATCGCCTAAGTCAGCCGACGATCAATTCTTTGATTTTGTACCATTTCGCGCAAGTGGTGAGAAAATGACTCTAATTGATGAAGTGAAATCTGAATGTGAAAGGTTCCTCTCCTCCGCAGAGTCTAATTTGTCTATGCTGCATCAATTTTCCCATGTGAAAGAAATTTTTATTAAATTCAACACTCCACTCCCATCCTCAGGACCCGTGGAGAGGATTTTTAATTTTGGGCAAATGATCCTGGACCCCAAAAGGCAGCGGATCTCTGACAAGAATTTTGAGATGTCACTTCTCTTGAAGCTAAACACTTAGTTTAGTTAATTTAGATTAGATATTGAGACTGGTTTGACGAAAATAAATTTTAAATTGTTTCAAATCAAGTACATGCCAGAGTAATTATTTTGCATAAAATTGCACACAATTGCTGCAAAAAATGATGCAAAGCTAATTTCCAAATTTTATTTGATCATGATCTTTGGTAAGCAGAACTTCATCTGGTCTTAATGTTTTTAATTTCAAAAAATGATCCGATCTTTGATCTTGATGTTTTTTATTTAAAAAGGTGATCTGATCTTTGATCTTGATCTTTTTTATTTAAAAAGGTGATCTGATCTTTGATCTTGATCTTTTATTATTTATAAAGGTGATCTGATCTTAGATCTAGATCTTTTTAAGATCGTAAAATAATCTGATCTACGATCTTTATCTAAATTTTTACTGATCTGCCCATCCCTGCGTGTGTAATAGATAATCAACAGTATTCAATAGTGCATAATAGCTATCTCGGCCTATCTCAACCTGCCCCCAGTGCCGGGAGAAAATCTCGTTCAAAAAATCAGACACACATCAAGTCGCTACTCTTTATCTGATATTGATATCCCAACCGTCCGTAATTTAATCCTGATCACGAATATGCAAAAATGATATCAATTTTTCAAATTTTTTATTATAATTTGCAATAATCTTCAAAACTTCCAAAAGATAAATTTTAATATTATTAATATTAATATATTATTAAATATTAATTCCTCATTCACTAATTCATACATACTTTGTAAAACAAATATTCATTAATTATTCAACATTTATTCAGTATTCACTATTCCTTCGTTGTTCAGGTTATTGAAAGTTTACAATGTTCCTAACCTAATCAGGGAACGATTGTCTCAAAATCCGTGGTTTTATGTATGCACGTTGTCTGAAGACGAGGAAAATAAAATAAAATAGAAGCATCAATCTGTAAGAGGTAAAAAAATTCGACTTGTCCAACACGAGTCGCAAAGAATATGGATAAACTTGTTCCTGCATGGTGATACTTGTTACACAATTTCCCACGCGTAGTGATTTTTTCCATTAGCGTCACTACATGTGTATTATACCTTAAATGTCTACATATGTAGTCCATTTTTTTTTTACTAATAACCAGAGGGCGGCGTGTTTAATAAATACACCGGAGTAATCTTTGTTTGCGCATTAAATTTGTCACGGGTTAAAATTACACATTCACGGGATATATTTACATATTGACAACTACTACATAAATAATTTTATCCATCTTACGAATTCAGAATTCATACGAAATAATATTCTGTGCAATAATTACGACCCGTTTTAATATTCGCTATTAAACAAATAAATGCAAACTTCAATAATCTTGAAAAAATGCCACCTCGACTTACATATTTATACAAATTGAACATAATTGATATACATACTGTGTGTACCCAAGCAACTGTGTGTCGTGAAATCCACATTTACAAAAATTTGAGGATGGCGCTGACGTCACGAAAAGTGATACTACGTCCGCTGTTGCATAAGGACGAGTTTTGCCGTGCAATCTCTCGTTCAGCCAGATTGGAGCAGTGGACAGAGGATGAGACTCAGATATATTTTTCCTGGGTTCGAGTCCTTCCAATGTTTATGTTTTTTGGTACTTTTTTGTGATAACACGCTTTTTCAACGCATATTAAGATTATTTTTGGCAGGAAAATTTATTCTATAATTCCACCACCATGAATTCGATAAACAAAATTTTTTTAATTATCACATTATTATTTCATATTATTTCTTTTACCATGATTAATTATTAGTTTATAGTCAAACATGAAGTAAGCAACACTATATAACTAGGCTTAACTAATCATCAACTTCCATGTCCTCCGCTGTTTGAAAATTAAAACATTAAAAAATTAATTTTCAACTTATATAAATAAATACAAATTTTTTAATTAGTATTTTAAACTTTCACCTGGCAGTGATGAATCAGCGAAAGTCAGTCTTCTGTTGCAACTCTTCCTTTTCTTTGGGGGTTGATTCTTCTTATTGTACATATGGCTACCAATTTGTCTTCATATTCAGACTGTGGATCGCTCATGACGTTTCAATCATGAACTATATCAATAGGGGAATGGCAAGTGTCAAAGGTTACATTGTCGTCGTTCCCCTCCACTCCGCTGTCATCATCTTCATCCAACATTTCATCATCGTCGTCATCCTCGGTAATAATTATTGGGGATTGAGCCATTGCCTCATCAAACCACCCATCTTCCTTCCAATACCGCTTCTCTAACCTGTTCATGAACCATGTAAAGTAATGGAAATATTAGAAATGTTTGACTGTACTTTTTAACGTGATCCCAGAACGGCTTGATCTGCAACGATCTGCAACTCCCAAATTTTGAAAGCACTTCCTCCGCCAATTTTTTGATCTCCTTAATATTCTGATGAATATTGCGTTTCCTTACTTCTTCCTTTATCATTTTCCAAACAAACCTGTGATAAATTTATATATTAAACTTTTAAGCATTACGCTGCGACAATATATATGGCAAAATTACTCTATAACGTTAAGGTCACATCCATAAGGGGGCAGTCGTAAGATTTTATGACCCCTCACTGCTGCCTCCTTATCAACCTGGTATAGGCTGTTTTGCATGCCATCCTTTTTTACTATTGATTGAACCATTTCTTCAATCTCCCATTTGTAATACATGTTAATAGGTCCAACGACGACTGGAGGTGTCAATTGGGCCTTGTGTTTCACCAGAAAATCGTACCACACCTGTTTTTTGTTACTTGCCTTGGGCTTCAGTGACGTTGAATGATACGGTGCGTTATCAATGATTATGATATATCTATCACCAGTTTTGTCCAATACATCCAGCACTTGGGTTTTAAACCACCTCATGAACAGCTCGCTGTTAACCTATTACATAAAATTTAATTAACCAAAGGCAACAATCATTCTTGTACTGAACAAGGCTGAGCGTTTACTACATTTTCATGGTAATCTGCAGCTGCATTGGAAGCCTAATATTTCATACACAAGACTCGATTCCGGAATTACTCCATCTTCATTGACGGCACTCAGAGCAATTAACCTATTCCACAAAATTCTTAGCAATATTATAGTACTAAAGGTGGTTTATTAGGCAAACATATCACCTGCTCCCTCGAGAAACTTTATGATCCTTCCACGTGAAGTCCACCATGTCCTTTATTCTCGCACACTTCTTTGGAAACCATCCTTTCTTTACCCTCTGGTGTGGATCTATTATACAAAGCAATAACTAGAATAATATTCATAATTTGAAAACATTGAGGCAAGGAGAAGAAAATCTGTTAGTATTTATTACCTAACCATGTTTCGTCTAAGTACACAAGTTTCATGGGATTTTCCAGTGCTTCATTTAGTCGCAATGTTCGTAAATACTTTCCTCTCCACTTGACGATATCATCACGGTAACACAGCCCTACTCTTGTATCAATTTTCCCAAATTTGTATCCCTCGGCATGCAGAATTTTTCTAAAGGTTTGTCGACTGCATCTGAACATTTCCTTCTTTCCTTCACTTGTTTCTACTGCACCTGATGATGCGGCTATTGAACTAGAATAAGTTTCGAATCCAGCATCTAGATTGAGATCGGGAAAAACTGGACAGAGACTTTGGCTATTATTCTTTGCTGACGAATCGCGTTTGTAGTTAATAAACGCGTTATACAAGTTCTCCACAATTGCAATTTGTGCTTTCTTGTAGAAAGACATTATCAGATTCCTAAGCCAATCTCTGTCGAATGAATCTACGCTTGACTGAACACGGCAGAATGATTTCCGTTTCTTCCCGGGTGTAATTATCGCGTTGTTCCTTAGAGCATTATTAGCATTTGTTAGATATGGTTGTTGTGCCCACTCCTAGCAAACGTGCCGCAATATGTATTGGTCGTCCTTCAAGTATGGCAGGATATAATTTAAGCATTTTAACAGAATACCATACGTTCAGGGCTAACTGTTGAGCAGTGCTCTGCAACGGGCGACCTTGGAATAAAAAGGGATACTGTAATGTTTGTTTCTCATCCCAATTCGGGCAGGAATTTTCTGCTAATGGTGACGTAGTGCAGGAGACGTATGTATTAAACTCCAAGGGTATTCCATTACCGCATCGACTGATACCATGCACCTGACAAGCTGATGGGTTTGTCGAAATCATCAAGTCGGAGCAAGTTTTCGGAATATCTGGGTGAATCTCTAATAAGTAATTTATATCCTCATCTCCACACTCGTTGCCATAAACGACCATATCCACCAGTTTGGATGAAATTATCTGATTAATGGCGTCATTTACGCGTAGTTTCATTTGACTTGCTGGCAAACTCACTTGTTTTGTCAACCAGCACAAATGTCGGAGATTGTGAACCGTAATAAAACGATAGCGATAGGATATCCTTTGTCCGACGGAATGATAGAGTCTGTTCGAAAAGCATCGGTAACATATTGGCTCCACGTAATAACAGATGTAACCGATAACACATTTTTTGTTCCCAGAACGAAAAACCAACCTTCCATGGGACGCAATCCATCTGCGGACGTGCGGGTCACCTTCACAAACTTTTCTTTCGCAAGATGCGCACTAAACACTATTTGCAATATAGGTCTCATTTCCAAAATCAATATTACGTAACCATCCAATGATGTTCTTTTTGGAACAGACACGCCATTGCAAACCATTTTCAACTCGATAAACTGTATGTTTGACAAGTCACCCACTGCCCCGGGTAAAATTTCCTTAAGAAGTACTTTGCAACCCTTTTTGCCCGACGATGTATTTGACCGGACTAAGCTATTTTCAGTTGACACATCATTTTCCTCGTAACTTTCTTCAGTAACAGCTGGATGAGTTTCTGAAGGTGTAAGGGAGTCGCCTGAACATATAGCACTGTTCGATGGCAACGAAATATCGGAACTTCCAGGTTCAATGGCGGCAATAAGTGGCACAATTGAAACTGTAGTAGTTGATTGAGAAAATTGAAAACTGCTTTCCAATCCAACATATGCGTTCAAGCATGTGGAAAACTGGAGAGTCATATATTCCGCTAGATTTACTTCCAAAAATGAAGAGTCAGGCGATTGAATTACTCGTAATAAATGATTTCCAAAGGTCCACACGGCTTCATTTATGCTTGCAATCACTGATTCCAGTGTATTTCCCCTAGGATTTATTTGGATATTATGGTGAGTAGTGCGCATGACTGTTATCTTCAGGTCTGCCATTTCTGAACCTTGCAACGGGATATTGTAAATAAAGCCATCAGAGGTAAACACTCCGGTCATTGTGAGGTTTGGGTTACTGAAGCCCAACACTTTGCTTAGTTCGTGAGACAAGTGTAAGCTGTATGTGTCAAACGGATCACTCATAATTATTGTGGTCCTATTGTCTTTCATACCAATTGTTAAACTGATTTCATTTCCAAAATAAGTGGAATTAATGTCGTCCACTAACATTTCAACCGAGATGTTGACAGAGTTGAAGCCCACAGACATGGCTTTATAATTGTATGTTATGGCAAGACTCATGGAGCAATTACTTTCTACAGGAAATACAGAGGAACAAACTCGCTTTGTGTAGGTATTTTTTTTGTACACCAACAAAGGAGAGTCAGAGATAAAGTGGGGGACGTTAAACATTCTTTCAAAGTCTTGGGAAGGTGTAAATCGGGCTGTGTGGTTGGAGTTTATAATCGCGACTTGGCACCTGTCAACGGAGTGTAGTATAGTAATGACCCCTTTCCCTGTACTTCCATTTGTTGTGTGGGGGAAAATATTTACGGCTTCAGGTGTCCATTTGATTATTGTGAGAGAAACAGTATCGTTGTATTCTTTTAGCATAACTTCATTGATTGGTTCTTTTGCTGGATATTGTCCACTCTTTTCAAAAATACACAGAGAGTAGCCTAAGATTTCGCACAATGGTTGTGACAGTTCAACACTATAATATTGAGTAGGGTCCCTCATTACTATTCAAGCTTTATCGTTGTCGCATAAGCTGATCTTGAATATAAGTCCATTTCCTTTTGCAGCAAGATTTATGTTCATAAAAAAATCATATTTTGCCGAGCTCGTATTAGTGGTCTTGATATGAAGAACTAATCTTGAAGGCCATGATAACGTTCCAAATTTGCTTATTGCTTGAAGATCCTCATGATCCAACTTGTTGAACTTTGTAAATGGGGGCACCGATTTGGACGAAATGCACATCCTTTAAAAGTGTTTTAAAAAAGTGTACACTATTAAACACAATGGCATGCATGCTTTAAAACTATGTGGATGAACAATGGTACTAGTTAGCAAAATCAGTTGTTAACCTTGATTATACGAATAATCGAGAAAGCGAAATTTTTACGTCATAATTACCCTTAATATGTGATAAACTTACCCTTCAGAATACAAGTAATCCTGTGGGACGAGACATGGGGTAAGAAGAAAAACAAACAGCAGCAACTCTGAGAGAAACGTTTATCAATTACGTATGATTATTCTCTGATGAGGATTCACAGTACAGTTGGCATATAACTTACTTTCACTTTTGAACATTTTTGTCCAGTTTCGAGGAATAATGTAGCGTTTGGTTTGTGGTGGAGTGAGATTAGACAGAATTTTGCAGAAAACTTAAAGATTAAGTCGTGAGTTTACTTGAAAATGTCGATATTGAATGGCTGGGGGTGAAAAAATCGATCTGGGTTTTATGTAAAGTTAATTGACGTAAACACATTGTTGTAAACTTATTACGACATTCAAACATTTCCATTATGCATTTATTAACACTAAAAACCAATACGCAACGATTACACAATGCATGGTATGGGTGATACAAGAACGAATATAATTATGAATTGAACAATTCCAACTATACAATGAGGAAAGTTAATGAAGGCCGTCACGAGGCTTCAATGAACCTCATTGTTTACATCCATCAGATATAAATCATGGTAAAAGAAATGTGATAATTAAATAAATTTTGTTTATCGAATTCATGGTGGTGGAATTATAGAATAAATTTTCCTGCCAAAAATAATCTTAATATGCGTTGAAAAAGCGTGTTATCACAAAAAAGTACCAAAAAACATAAACATTGGAAGGACTCGAACCCAGGAAAAATATATCTGAGTCTCATCCTCTGTCCACTGCTCCAATCTGGCTGAACGAGAGATTGCACGGCAAAACTCGTCCTTATGCAACAGCGGAGGTAGTATCACTTTTCGTGACGTCAGCGCCATCCTCAAATTTTTGTAAATGTGGATTTCACGACACACAGTTGCTTGGGTACACACAGTATGTATCATTCTTCACAAATTGTATGTACATAATAACTACACTACTTAAGCATTTAACTACACCGTAAATAATCTGGTAATAAACATTACCAAAAAGCACAAGTATATTTATGACTCTACCACAGTGGTAATGATAAGTTGTGCCGTGTTGTAATAAAGGGTTACCTGCATAATAGCGAATTTTTATTACCTGGTAAAATACATATTATTCCCAAATTTATTACCGAGAAATCTTTAACTTTACCGGGTTATTAAGAGTGTATTCTACATTGTTATGCAAATATGCACATACGTACGTACGTACCACGCGTGGGAAATTGTGCAACAGGCATTCACCACGAGGAAGAATTAATTACTCGTGCTACACAAGTCTCGTAATTTTGATTCCCACAGGTTGAATTTTAGTTTCCTTGTTGGAGCCATATTTTTTTAGGGGAGCTTGTACACATTACGTATTGCATAAAACCATCACGGATTTTGGGACAACCTTTTCTTTTCCAGTTTACTTATGTAAATTCGTTAAGCTTAACACGAGTAGGCAAAAAAACTGCCCACTCAACCTTCTTGACGACGCAACATATGAACGATCCCTTTCCAGGGGAAGGTTGATTTACATACGTTTTAATTCTTTCTTCACACGCAAAACTAATCAGGTGAATTTTACACATGTATTTACATATTTATTCTCACGTTATGCATATGTAACAACTGGGAGGAAACCTTGTGTAATAATGGGTCGTACATACATAACACCGAACATTACCGCGTGGTAATGTCCCCTATGAAAAATAATGTCATCTTCTCCGGTGAAAATTGTTTGTCGAATTTGACATAAATCTGCCCGGAACCATGGTTTGTGCAGAAAAAGTAGGAATGATTCTACATAAAACTTCTGACAGGTTTATTCTCCAGAAATGTTTGGCATAATTATGCATAATTCTGCATATTTTGTGCACAAATTGTTTCGGCATAAATTTTTCTGCATAAAATCCCCTGCATAAAACCCAGCCAAATTTCTGCATAAAATCCCTTAAATTTTTCACCCGGGCGGCCAAGTAAATAAATCCTGTCTGAATTGTAATAGATATTTTAACCCTTCAAGCAGTATGACTACGTGAGATGAAAAAAACTACAATTAATTCCGGAACATTATAAAAATTAGACTTCAAATTTACCCAATTTTTTGAAACGTATTTATATTCATGAAAGAAATTCTAAGCAAAAATGATGCCCACATACTTTTTTAAATGCGGATATCCATAATTCGAAAAGTAGGTTATATGTAGGGTCATAAAAAACTATGTTTTTGGATTAAAATCTGAATATTCAACCACAGTCTGCATCGCGGATTCAAAAAAATATCCTAAAATTGACATGAGTAAGTAAAGAACATGAAATTGAAGAGCTAGAAAAAAGCATGGCAGGACAAAGAAATTGAAGCACGACCGGGTTTTTTATGACGAAATATATGAACGCTCCCCCACCACGATGCTTCAAGGTTTCTGCTTCCTTATGATGCCATGGAGATGAAGAAGTGAGACTATTCTTTAGTCGGACTCGGCCAGGAATTATTTACCGTCACGGGTCTGGAACTACTTGGTGTTGGAAAATGGTGCTGGACATTCTGGACGGATGGTAAGCGGGGAGTCTTTCACGTGTAAAACTCACATCTACATGGGACCAATTTTATTTTGTTCACCGCAAAAAATAAGCACACCCATATTTTTGCATTTTTCACAATGCTCTTTTGAACGGGTGGCGCGAATTTTAAATATATTTCCAGCCAAAAACTCGATTTTTAAAAATCCCACAAGTTTTAGAATTTTAGCAGGAGTTCAAAAACTCCAAGACATATCTCTACAGATTGACTTGTTTGATGTATTAAAAATCCAGTTGCAAAATTTTTAGAAATATAAAACTTTATGATGCTTCAAGTAAGTCAGGTAAATCATTCTGAAGAGACATGTTTTCGAATTTTTTTGTACACGCTAAACTTCAAAAATATACCGAATTTTATAAAATCGAGCTGTTGGCTGGAAAACTGTTTACAATTCGCGCTCAAATTAGCGCATTCGGAAAAATGCAAAAGTACGGTTATGTTTATTTTTTGTGGTGAACAAAATAAAATTGGTCCCTTTGAGATCTGAGTTCTACACGTAAAAGGCTTGCATTGTTAGTCAATCAACGAAATACCCAGTGTACACATATTGCGTCGTCAAAACTGGGTCACCTGTCGTAATTGAAGAAATTGACGACGTCCTATCCTCGTATTTAAGTGTGTCACCTCATTTGCGTAAATCTCACTATGCCCATGCGGGCTTTCCATGTTGAATAAACTTTTATGACTCGCTAATCCGTCACATTATGCAAAATTAGGCTATAAAAAGTCGATAGTAAATATGTAACATTTAAACGTCCCGCTCTCTCTCCGACAGGTTCGTCACGGTCGGCGTGCACCTTTACGACACTCTGATCCCAATTTTTCGAAAAGCCCGGTTCTTCCTCCTGCTCCCGTTTACCCCGATTTTGAAAGTCATCACGGACCATGCCTTGTCCCGCCTCGGGGTGACGATCGGCTCGAGTCCGAAGGCTGACCTGTGCATTTTGGACAAACGATTCTACGCCAGGTTCGTACCTGTTCAAAAAATATATACTCATTCAAAATTCACTCATTCATAGCCAAAAAATTCATTCCTTATTCATAATTTGTAAAAAAATATTCATTAATTATTCACCATTCCTTCATTATTCATTTTATTCAAAAATCACAGTCTTAGATGAATTTCTCAACTTCCCGACATACGTATTATGCATTGAGTTAAAAATGAATCATGAAAATAATATTCATTCATTATTCATTCCAACAGATATTCACTCACAATTCATTTATTCAAAACTAAGAATAAAATATTCATTCAAATTTTGAATACTGAATGAATAACTTGTTAATTCATCATGAAATGAATGAATGTGAACATGTTTGGCCAGGTTATGGGCCGACCAGATTTTTGGTCTCGAGGAAATGTTCGCCGAGGGGTGGTGGACTTCGGGAAACTTGGAAGTTTTCTATGACAAGCTTTTCTCCCTGGGTGACAAGCACCGATGGCTTTTCCGCCTCCAGATATCCTACTGGGAGGGGCTCTTCAGATGGGGCGTGCTCAACACGGGGCGAGATGGGACCAACTTCAACGCGGCGCGGGAATACGAACTACGTACGTGACCCTCATTTCACAATGCGATGGTGTCAAGTGTAACGCTCTGATTTGGTTGAAATTTTGAAATTATCTGTGTGGTCCAAGCAAATACAACCAACGTTTCCGCAAGGAGTTTGCGCGATGGTTGGAATATGGCAAAATATTTGAGGGAAAAGATAAAAAATATGCGATTTGTAGAGAAAATGATCAGAGTTTGCTTCCTTCGCCTTTCAAAAATCGCCCGTTTTTTAACCTTGAACTCAAATATTTTGATAAATTCCCACCATCGCACAAACTGCCTGAGGAAACTTTGGTTGTAGTTACATACCTAATTTCAAAATTTCAACCAAATCCGAGCGTTACACTTCACACCATTGTATTTTTAGTTGTGGGTGTAGAAATATTATACAAATATTTTGATTATTAAGCATTTTCGATTTATAAATCTAGCTGTCGAGTTTTTCAAACTGCTCACGGACAAGGAGCACATGCAACACTCGTGCGGTATCTACGTCAACGGGGCCACCACGTATGCCGACTCCCAAATCGAAAAGTTCAAACTGATCGCATCCAAGCTTGAACTAAAACCAGGGATGACGCTTTTGGATCTGGGCTGTGGCTTCGGCGGTCTCTCAAAATTCATGGCGGACAATTACGGCGTGACGGTCACGGGAGTCACGGTCTGCGAGTCGATGGCCACGCAGGCAACGAATCACTGCCGCGGGAGTAAAGTCACCATTAAGACTCAACACTGGAGAAGAATGGAGGGCAAATTTGACCGCATTTCGATCATCGAAATGTTGGAGCACGTCGGGAAACAAAATTACGATGAATTTTTTACAAAAATCAAATCCCTTCTGAATCCTGGTGAGTATATAATACATGCTTTTTAAGGTTGAGTTATCTCATCTTCCCCCATGTGTCACGTTTCCTTCTAATAGTTAGATAGAAAAATTGTAAAATTAATACTTAAAAGCAGCATTTATTTTCTAGAAATTAGAAACAAAATTTGATGGTATTTACCACTTACAATGCCATGGTGCTAAGTGTAAGGGCTGAAATTTGGCTAAAATTTCAAAATTATGTAGTCCAAGTCCAACTAACGTTTCCTGAGACACTTTGTGCTATGCTGGGAATTCGTAAAAAATTTAAGGCGAAAGTTGAAAAAATAGCGATTTTTACCCTACGGAGGAGGATTTCATTCCCTTCAAAGGGAAAAATTACACATTTTAAAATTTCTCCCAAATCGTAGAGTTACACTTGACACCATCACATTGTTAGATTTTAAATAGACCATCAGAACCAGAATTTGATAGCATACAGGGTAGCTAAAATGTCACGCTACAATGGGAAAAGTCCCTAAATCTCCATTAGTTGCAAGATTTGGGATTGAGATTTTTATAACTTATTCAACACTGATGACAAAATTCTAAAAATGTTGCATTTTTCAGAGACAACATTTCCGTAACTAATGGAAATTTATGGATTTTTCCCATCGAAAAATTTTCCATTGTAGCGTGACATTTTAGCCACCCTGTATAACTTCCCCCCCTTGTTTTTCTTCCTTTCCAGGTGGTCGGATTCTACTCCAACATTACGTCGTGGACCCGGGTATCCCACACTTTTTTGAGTTTGCCTGTAAAAACCACTTCGGTCAGACGTACGTCGCCGCGCTGAACGAGTTCGTCACGTATTCGACGCGCTCCTTCCGTATCGCCAACATGCAGGACTTTTCCTTGGATTTGGAACAAGCCGGGAAACACTTTATGGGCATGATAGAAGACAATCGGCCAGAGATGGAGGCCTTGGTGGGACCCAAGCTGGTCCGGGCGCTTCAGATCACGTATGCCGCAGCGCTGGCCGCCACCAAGTTTAAGGGTGGCCAGGTCTACCAAACCGTCCTGGTCGGAAAGGATGACCAGAACAGAATTCCCGTCCAGTAAGCGGAACGTTTTAAATATCCCGGGCTGAATTATTGGTAACTAGCGTATAAGCCCGTCTCCCGCCGGGCGAGTGAAAATTATAAGCTGGAAATATCTGTCGGTAACGGAAGTGAAAGAAAATTATCTGCAACGCAAGGGAGATTAAAGAAAGTCAAGTTTCGAATAGCGCGAAAAGTAAAAACAAATTAAATTTTTAAAAAATCAATGTCTGATGGTAGTTATGTTGGGATGGTCGTAAAATGGTGGTTATTTTGGGTGGTTATCTTGACTATTTCGCTGCGATGTGGGAGGTTAATGTAGACTCACTGATACAATAGCACGTCGAAGTAAAACAAATAATATTCTGACTGTCTAGTGCCTTCGTCAGAATATTTCCCTGTTTTTCTTTATTCACGGTGTTTGTTAAATTAAATTGGAGGTACAATTGTATTAAGTAAAACCCCAAACCTCCGTCTTCAAACTATGAACCACGATGCGGTGTCGTACTCAATTAATGTAACGGGACCTTACTCCCATTTTATTCAGTCGAGTGACATTTCGGTGTGCTCGCGACTCACTCCCACTCCACTCCTACTCCAATCCGCAGGGGAGTGACCACTTACTCCTAGAGTATAAGTCCGTCTCCTGTACGGAGGTATGTAGTTTCTGTGATTTTCAATATAACTCTAAGAAGTGATTGGGCTAGGGCTGGGCTTGGGCTGGGCTTGGGCACAGTACTACTCGCTACTCCACTCTAAGGAGTGATTGGGCTAGGGCTGGGCTTGGGCTGGGCTTGGGCACAGTACTACTCGCTACTCCACTCTAAGGAGTGATTGGGCTAGGGCTGGGCTTGGGCTGGGCTTGGGCACAGTACTACTCGCTACTCCACTCTAAGGAGTGATTGGGCTAGGGCTGGGCTTGGGCTGGGCTTGGGCACAGTACAACTCGCTACTCCACTCTAAGGAGTGATTGGGCTAGGGCTGGGCTTGGGCTGGGCTTGGGCACAGTACTACTCGCTACTCCACTCTAAGGAGTGATTGGGCTAGGGCTGGGCTTGGGCTGGGCTTGGGCACAGTACTACTCGCTACTCCACTCTAAGGAGTGATTGGGCTAGGGCTGGGCTTGGGCTGGGCTTGGGCACAGTACTACTCGCTACTCCACTCTAAGGAGTGATTGGGCTAGGGCTGGGCTGGGCTTGGGCACAGTACTACTCGCCGCCCACTTATCTTACCTAAATGACCACCACCCCTCAGATAACTACCACCCCAAGATAACCACCACACCCAGATAACCACCACACCCAGATAACCACCACCCCCAGATAACCACCTCACCCAGATAACCACCACCCCCAGATAACGACCATCTCTCAGATAACCACCACCCCAAGATAACCACCACACCCAGATAACCACCACCCCAAGATAACCACCATCCCTCAGATAACCACCACACCCAGATAACCACCACCCCAAGATAACCACCATCCCTCAGATAACCACCACACCCAGATAACCACCATTCCAAGATAACCACCACACCCAGATGACCACCACCCCCAGGTAACCACCACCCCTCAGATAACTACCACCCCAAGATAACCACCACCCCCAGATAACCACCATCCCTAAATAACCACCACCCCCATAAGCCCATACAAAGAGTACCACACCTTCTGGCATTTAATTTTTTGAATTTAATTTATTTTGAATTCTCGCGCCATTCGAAACTTAACTTTCTCCACTTTCACTTCCGTCACGGAAAATCACTTCCGTTGCCAACAGATATTTCCAGCTTATAATATAGATATTTGGTTGTATTATATAAAATTTTGTAATGCCATTTAGAAAACAAAATCGCATATGATTTATGCAAACTTTTTTCCCTACTAATTTTGTGCCAATGGCCCGACGTGTAACAGATGAAAAAACGTATTTCCGCTGGATACAAAAATGTCACTTGACACTAAGGACAATAAATAATTATAGTTAATTGGATAAAATCAACAAAGAATTAATAAATAAACAGAATTTAAGGGTACATAAATAAATACATACATACTTCTGCTAGCAATACTTTTGGTTACCGGGTTATTTATGTATAGTGCACAATTGTCTTCACGAACAAGTCGACGCGGCATTAATAAAATCTTGCATGCGGAACAAAATTGTGATATTTAAAAACTGTGTGGCTCATATTATTTAATTTATTAAAAATATGACTCGCAGATACATAAATGAAATGGACATTTACATATCTACATATGTTGCGTCATTGTAAAAAGTAAGTTACATAATTTTAAAACTAAATCACCAAATCCATCAGTTAAAGTTGACAGAAGAATCAATTAATGCTGTCACTGAGATAATGCAAAAATTTAGAGCAAGGTGCTCTTATTACGGGATATCTAACTTTGAGTTATGTAAATATCATAAATTGGATGAACAGCTAAATTGTGAAACACGCTTCAACCTCAGGGGTACTACTCAGGTGCGGGAAAGGTTTAACAAAATTAAAAAAAATAAATAACTATAAAAAAACATTTAAGCAAATTATTCTCCATTAAATTAGTGCGAAACCCGAGTGGATTGCAGACTTGTTATCAGTTGTGGTGCAATATCGTGAACTGAAGTTTTAAGAGAACAATTAATCTTTTTTCATATATTTTTAATGCTGGAGATATCTTTAGATTTTTTTCCAACCCACATTTCTAAGAAACTTTTGCAGAAAAATTAAAGACGACAATTTTTTGAAAAATTTCATGACATACGAAAGTTGAACTATTTGTCATAATTTTTGTCAAAAATTTTGAACATCCGACCAGGTTAATGCAAAAGTTCTGGTGGTTTTGAAAAATATAAAGCTTTAAAATGTATATGTTTTACACGGAAATAAGAATGAAGCATTTAGATGTCTTTTGCCATCATGGAGAAAGCCGCATCCCCTTTTGCAGTTTTTTGCGACTTTCGGTCCCTCCCTCATGGAAAAGGGGCGGCGTCTAACCAAATTAGTGAAACCGTTGCACAAAATCAATTTTTTTCTCTGTTTCGAAATTCCCGCTTGCATTGTTGTCACATTGTTGGTATATATGTAAAGATCAGCTTATCAATATACATTATCAATCATTATCAATATACATTATCAATCTTACATTATCCATATATAAAGCAGCAGCACATCGACGGACAGAACAAGTCTGGGGGAAGGCATGGGAGAGGCTGGGGGTGATGGTAAGATGCAACCGTGTCTTCTGCTGCCTGCCTACCCCAATACACATGTAATTGTGTGTGCGAATAAGCGTCATAAGCGAATAAAAGTCTTCTCTCGAATCTTAATCTACCTCCAAATAGTCGTCCTTCATTTCTCACCAACATTTCGTGCAACGAGTTCATCATTTCTTCCCCCCCCCCCACCTAGCCGACGAAGTGGGGTCTCTGTGTGGACCACCGGAGTGGACCATTACACATACCTATCAGATTTATTTCGCAAGATTTCATGTCTTAAAGCCCAGAATGTGTAAGTAATATGTACGCCCAAGGATTAAAGCTTATGCCCGGCCCCTTGTGAATCTGCATACATACATAGTCAAGTTTTCTTACAGCTTACTGCATTCGTGCCAAGCTACAATTTCTATAGGATTTTCACACGTTTGAACATACTGTGGAAAGTCTAAAATAAATCGATTTCTTAAAAATTAAACTAAGAACTATCCACTTTTAAATAATGCAACATGTCATCGATCGTAGAGACGAATATGCAAAAATATTTTAGCATAACACTTGGCTAACTAGCTAGCTAGATCTGGGATCATTCACTAGTCACGTTTCCTAAGAATGATATTTTTTTCACCCGTATTTACTCGTTCGAAACCGGGAAATTTTAGAGCTTGGTCATCCTTCCTAGTGGCGAGATATTCGGCCGTCTCAATCTACTTACGAAAATCGTCTATTGGAATTAGAGCAGTCCAGTTCTTGTAAGATTAATTCCTTAATATTACAGTCTGACACGCTTAAGGGAAACGATTGCCACGGAGTTTGGAAACTTGATCAGTAGCATAGCCATCCCATTAGGTCACCCCATCGTTCACCTGCATTCACATGACGTAGTAAATTAATTGTCCCAGAACTTATCGTACACATTAGTCCCGTCCTTTGATGATACGGATCCGTTCGGACTGGAATAGAAGAAGCTATTGTTTTGCTGAGTGCCACGTATGCTTAGAAAAGAATGTCTGGTTTGAGAGTGGCTGGCTGAGAGTCATGTCTGGTTTTCTCGTCGATTAATCTGCTCCTCTTGATAACTTCTCCCCCGTTCTTTGAGAAATTCGCGTCAGTGGAAATTAATTTGATCTTGATTTTCATATATCATCATCGCGTCGGAAGAGTCTTCTGAATTTTTCTTTGCGTAGAAAATGAATTGTCGACAGAAATTAGTAAAATAAATTCTCCAAGCTACATATGTAACTACACAAGATATTTGTAAAATATACGACTAAATGTATTTCATCACTTTACAATGATTGATTGACGCTTTAATAAATAGGTAACAATACTACTGAAAGCTTCCAGGGAAATTAAATATCTATCTGCATAAGTATATGTATATTTGTGCATAGATATATATTTTACTTCATGAAATTCAAAATTGTTTGCAGGTAGGCTTCGTGTGCAAAGTATTTTGAAATTTTGGGACACAAGTTTTGTCACGTGTCTATGTAGGTAATTAATATAAATAATATATAATAATAATAATTTATTCTGAAATTCGTACAAGGCTGATGGTCCATAGAATTACAAGTTATTACAGGTGTTGGAGTAGTAAATCGAGTCCGTAAATACATCATCTCATCAAATTTTAATTGGAATACAATTTATTATACCTATTTAATATTTGCATTAGTTGTGTTAGTTCGGTTAATGGTCAGATTATCTTCCTCAACCATCAATCTCCGCATTCTTAAGACCTCATTTAAATATTTGTAAATAGAGTCAGCATAGCCAATTTTATTGCAGAGTAGACCCATTGTTCTATCCTTTTTCCCTTCTAGTTCTCGTATCCACATTCTACTACCACCGTAAACCCTACAGTTCGACAACACAATGTAGGTAATTAGTCTATGACTGACAGTCATAGGCACGTGAGCACAACATCTTGACGATCGGGTCAATTTACATATATCCGCAAACTTTATAGATTAGCAAAAGATAACTTAATACCTACTTCAGTCAAATTCAAGTTAGGTTATCAAACAAGAAATAAATGCAAATTTGATTAATACTTTAGGGTAGGGTTTGATAAACACTGGGTAATAAATATACACACGTAGTCAACTAGAAAACCAATATTTAATTTCTTCGACCACAATGCTCCATCAAGATTTTCTCGCATATCTTCTCCTCATCATTCTGCCTTGCTCCTTGGGCACAGATAAGCTTCCGAACGGAAATTTTGACCATTTTGGTCCCTGTGTGTTGAAATTCGTAAGATTGAGCGACACCTTGGAATATGTCGACCTGTCCGAAAACCTCATCCACGCGAACAATCCGACCAACCTTATCTACACTATTAGCCAGAAATTAACATTTAGATTTGACCACCCGAATAACTACTACGATGAGATGAGTGCACTCGACTTTAAGTTCTACGAGGTCTGCACGATTACAGTCTTCGTAAAATATGGCATCAACTATTATCTGTTTCATTCTAATTATTTTCATTACACTCGAGATGGCCATAGAGGTGTGAAACATTCCACACTTATCCTAATTTCAAAACAGTCTCCAAAAGACATAATTTGGCTTCGATATCCAAGCGAGCGTACCGTACAGCGTAGAATTTTTGCACTTCATTTAACACGAGGTCATCATGTTGACCCATTCCAGTCGGCTGAAATCGAATGGTTTTTTATTTGCCCTTACTGTAAATATGTTGTTCAGTCGATAGATTATACCCGAAAAGTAAAGACATTGACAATGACGATGTTTCGGAAACATTGGCGAAACGATATAGAACTTGCCATCGACTCATAGGGAAGCTTAGTTCCAGATACAATTTGTGGACAAGGGCAGTACAACATTGCACAAACTTGGATAACCTGTGGACCTTCGCAAATCAAGCATAACACGATAGCTACCATCTTGAACATTTCCGTTGTGAAAGTTGATTTACGCAAAATGTTCTCGTCCGAGTGGGGCTATTACGAGCAACAGTACCCTCTACCCAGTTACGGATATGTCAACCTAAAATTACTATATTCCATCCACCATGAGGGAGTACATGCGATCTACTGTAATTTCAACGTGTGGTCGGAAAATTCAGATTTCGCAGTGTGGGCGTCACCGTTTTCAATATGGGTGTGGTTGACTGGATTTGTCATCGTTGTGATCGCAGTTGTTTTGCGAATTTTGCAGTATACAGTGCAGCTCAACAAAGTTGCCGTTACTTACGAGTTACTTCAGATTTTGGGAGAGTTTCTTTTCCAAATTTGTTTAAAATGTCCCCGGCAAGAATCCCGAAGTAAATGTATCCCCAGGTGGATCGGTGTGTCACTATTTTTCACAATTTTTATGCTTCTGGCTCAGTACGAGTTTTACTTGACAGCTAATCTAGTAGCCCCACCACATTACAAAGTAATCAGAACACTTAGCGACTTTTTTGACAATGATCACACCCTTGTTTACGAGTCGAGTGGAACTGACGGGAATCGTACAGCCCGGGCCCAGTTGGAAAGTGAATTTGTGCGGAAGTCATTGGGCGCTTTTCCACACGAGAAAACGATCATTGTCCGGTATTTATTTATTTCATTTATTTATTTCAAGTACATACAATCAAAAAATCCGGTAATATGATTACTAGCGGTTGCCACTAGGAAACCCGCGGGTAGCGAAAATGTTACCGTCATGTTGACACATTTGTTACCGTTAGTAGTAAATTTATTACCCCACTGGTAATATTTGCAACTCCTCCGTGGCAGTTATTAGCACCGTAGTAATAAATTTATTATTGCTCTAATATCACAATTTTATAAACATGCCGGTATAGCCAAATATCGTCATCGCTTGGTAATACT